GGACTCTGTGGTTTCCTCTGGACGTGGAGAGATTGCCATGGAAATCCTGCAGCTCCTTTTCCCTGCAGCAGTAAATCCTGCCTTAGTCCCACCAGGGTAGGGGATGAGTGTGGGGTGTTTTTATATCAAGTCTCACATCCAGCTTTACTCTTCCCTTCGTGGGCCTGAAATTGCAGTTGTAAATTAGCTTAATTGGTAGCCCTTCGTTAAGCATTGCTGTCTGATTGACTTTTAACAGGGGGGTTTAGAGTTAAACTGCAGGTTTAAGGGAGGCCAACCCCCCAAAATCACCAGGAGCAGCCTCTTGGACCCAGCTCAGCTCCAGGGGTTTCACCTGCAGCTCTTCAAAGGGAAAAAGGAGAAAGTCTGACAAAACATAATCCTATCTGTGCATTTTGGCCAGGAATGCTGGAGAGATTCCTCTTCCTTCCAAGATGCCCTTTCTGGGGCCCTTGGGACCATGTGCTGTTGGATCATGGTGAAGCCAAATGAATTATCTCTTTCCCCACTGATTAACTCTTCCATGTTCAGAGGACACCTGGTGTCCCTGTGTCCAACCCTTGGCCAGCAAACTGCATTCCAGGCACCCAGAAAGATTTAAGGGGAAGTTTCTGGCATTTCTTTGGAGAGGGAAAGGAGCCACAGAACCTTTGTGTGCCAAAATTGGTTCTGAAGACTCACAGGGTGGGGGTGGGGAGGGGGTCTGTTAAAAGCTTATTAGTGATCTGTGATTTCCCAACCATCAGCCAACTTCTGGAATAAAATGGAATAAATAACAGCAGGGCTGGGATTTTTTTTTTTTCAAGGCAATTTATTACGAGCTCTAGAAATTGCCTGAAAAGAGCCAGTTCCATCTGGGTACTTGGAAATCTGGGAATAATTGGAGGGTTATTATAGGGTAGAATTAGTCAAAGCATTTATTTACAGATTTCTTTGGCCTCCATCTGGCCCTTATTAATCCGGGGAGGCAGCTCTGAGCTGGGCTGACAGTAAGTTGTAAAATCATGGAATGCTTTGGATTGGAAGGGAAGTTAAGGATTATCCCATTCCACTCCCTGCCATGGGCAGGGACACCTTCCACCAGCCCAGGTTGCTCCAAGCCCCGTCCAACCTGGCCTTGGACACTTCCAGGGATCCAGGGGCAGCCACAGCTTCTCTGGATGCCCCTGGTACAAAACCAACATTCCCTGGTTTTGACATAACGAAGATGTTTTTGGGGTTTTTTTGGAATAGAGACCTTCTCGTGCCTCTCTCAGGTGATTTGTGCGCAGGCAGAGCTTTGCTGGTGTTGGGAACAGCTCTGGGATGGGGGAGTTCATTGGGAGTGAGGGACAAAATGCACCAAACCCTTTTCCTTTGACAAACCCATGGCTGGTTAATGCCATAATAAATAATTCCTCTGCTTGCAACCTGTTTGCTTCCAAACCAGAGCTGAACATTTATACTGCAAATGAATATTAATAATCCAGGGAACTTGGTGAGATGGGAACAGGCCCATGAACGTGATGGAGGCAGCGCAGGGTGTGAGGGCTGTGGGTGCTGCTGGGGGAGAACTGAGGGCAAGAGGGCACAAAAAAACCAGGAAAACCTCTCACAGCAACAGCAGGAAAGGAAAACTGGCAGCCAGGAGGGCCAGGGCCTAAAGAGTCCCTAAGAGAGCTGGAGAGAGAGTTGGGACAAGGGATGGAGGGACAGGACACAGGGAATGACTTCCCAGTGCCAGAGGGCAGGGATAGATGGGATATGGGGAAGGAATTGCTGGCTGGGAGGGTGGTGAAGCCCTGGCCCAGGTTGGGCAGAGAAGCTGTGGTTGCCCCTGGATCCCTGGAAGTGTTCAAGGCCAGGTTGGATAGGGCTTGGAGCAACCTGGGCTGGTGGAAGGTGTCCCTGCCCATGGCAGGGCTGGAATGGGACAATCATTAATGTCCCTTCCACCCCAAACTATTCTGGGATTCTGTTATTGCTGGAATGCTCCCCAGGAGATGGTTCCAGGCAGTTGGAGCTGCTGTTCCAAGCATGGAATAGCACTGGAATAGCAGAACAGCACTGTGAGCTCCGAGCTGGGCACTGAGGCTTTGCTGAGGGAATGGGATGTGAAGGAAAAGCTGAAAAACGCAGCAGAGCTGGAAGAAAACCCAGGAATTGATTTCTTGTCCGGGGGCTGATCATGTCAGCACCTCTCAGCACCAGCTGTTCCCTGACAGGTATTCCCAAGAACCCCGGGAATACGAGTGGCTGCTGTTCATGCAGAGGCTCTGAGATCATCTGTGCCCTTGGGTTTGTTGGGGAATGAGATACACGGATTGGAAGCACAAATGCTATTCCTGCAATATTTATCCCTCCAGTGAGCTTCCAGAGGAGTGGAACAGAGTATGAGGCTGCTTTTCCTGACATTCAGCTGATATGTTTTTCGTTGGTAATAGGGGGTATAAAATTCCTCCCCTGGAATCCTGCTGGGAGGGGGCAGGATGGGGGAGGGGGAGGTGGGAATAGCCCTGGGGAAGAGCAGCTGATGGGGAGGGGAGAGACCTTCCCTTGGCCATGGGAATGCCTGGGATGGGGATGGAAATGTGGATGCAGATGGGGATGTGGATATGGGAATGCAGATATGGATGTGAATGGGAATGCAGGTGCTGACAGGGGTGTGGATGCAGATGGGGATGGGGATATGGATGTGGATGGGACTGGAATGTGGATGAGGATGCGGATGCAGAAGGGTGTGGGGATGGGGATGCCGTGAGGATGGGGATGCCATGAGGATGGAAATACAGATTCAGATGTGGATGGGGATGCAGCTGTGGGTACAGATGCAGCTGTGGCTATGGATGCAGATGCCAGCCTGTCCTGTTCCCAGTTCCCCTTCCCAGCCCTCACCCACACATCCCCCCACGCCCCCGTTACACCCCCAAAGGCACTTTGCTGACACACCTTCCCCACTAAACCCCAGCTCTTTATTTGATGTTCCCCACACACCCAGAAAGCCATGGGGGGATCCCCCCCCACGACCCTGGACTCTGCAGGACAGTGGGATGCAGCGGGAAAGGCCCCGGTGCCTCCCCCCTCAGCAGAACCAGCCAGGGTGACAAATAATTGTCCTTTGCAGGCAGAGTGATTTGATTTGCATTTGAAGCAGTTTGTTACCCGGAGCAGGGGTGAGCAGAGTTGCCCAGCCGAGTGCTCCACAGGCAGCACACAGCCCCTTCCCAAGGCTGATCCCCCACTGGACACATCCAGTCCCCAAAGAGGTCCCTGTGCAGGGTCAGGGCTGAGGCAGCACAGGGGACAGGTCTGGCTTTGCTGGGGAAGCTGCTGCTGAGCAGCTGCAGAGGGAAGGGCACAGCTGGGGCAAGAACTCGCTCAAATTACCTTTTTTCTTTGAATTGCAGGTTTTTCCCTAAATCCATTAGGTATGGGATTGCTTCTGCTTCACTGAGGGAGCAGGAGCACATGGTGACTGGGTGGAAACACACTGGGAAGTATAAATAGTGTCCTGGATGAGGCTGGGGGATGTCTGGGGCTCTGGGCACGATCCTGCACGTCTGTGGCCTCCCCGGTGCTGGGGCAGCATCCAGTGGTAAAGAAACTGGAATCCTGTTTTTCTCCAAAGAGATAAAGTGGAAAACGGAGCGTTTTGCCTTGTGATCTGTTCTGATGGATCATCAGCAGCAATCACGATGCAGAACTAATGCTCTGATTACATTAACGGGCAGATAAAGTGTAACAAACTGGAATTTTCCTGGCTGTGTGTCACCAACCCCATCCCATCCCCTCTCCCCCTCACTGCAGCCCCACTGCTGCTTTTCTCATGTTTTCCAAAATTTCCTTTCCTTTCCCACTGGATGCTTGCAGGCATCCTTGTGAGCAAGGCAGAGGATGTGTTTGCAGAGGTGGATTTAGCTTCCTGAAACCCAAATGTCACATTTCCACTTGGCTGTATAAAATGGCAGCGTAATTCTATTTACAGATTGCTACAAGAAAAAAAAATAATACTCAAAAAAAGAAGCAGCAGGATTTCTTCTAGAAGCCTCCAGCAAGCCATGATCATCTCCCCCTGGTTTCCAAGGTTGGATGGGTGGGGTGGCCAAGTCTGGGTGTTGTAAAAGACTTTTCTCCACAGTGGGAGGTGGAGGAGGAAGAGGAAGGGCAGTGTCGTGCTCTTAGTCATGTTTTTTTTCCCCCTGCTAATTTTTTGGAGCCTGGATCTCATCCTGGCAGTGGTGGATCTGTGAGCAGGGTGCTGGTGAAGCCTTTAAAGAGGAATAAATGTATTTTGAAGGACTTATTGCTCGCTGATGGGTTGGAACGTGCTGACACAACGCGCTTGGCTTGTGCATGTGGGGTCTGGCTTTGTGTGTATTCGTTGATATGATGAAAATATGCAATAACTTAGTAAGACTTTAAGATCTGCCCTGTCCAATTGTCCATTGCCATTAGCAGCTCTTGCTGGTTTAATTACCAGGGTTATCAGGTAGCCCTGTCCCTTTGTCACCAGCACCTTCAGGAGTCAAAAGTGTCTGGAATAGTAGATGGGAATTATTCAGTTCCACTCCTTGCTGTTGCTCACTCCTTTTCACTTTGAGGATGACAATTTAATAGCTACTGTATGATAGGATCATGGAATTGTTAAGGTTGGAAAAGGCCTTTGAGATCATCAAGTCCAACTGTCAACCTGGCACCACCACCATGGTCACCACTGCCCCATGTCCCCAGGTGCCACATCCACACAGCTTTTAAATCCCTCCAGAGACGAGGACTCCACCGCTGCCTTGGGCTGGACAGCCACTTCCATGAAGGAATTTTCCCTTAAGTCCAACCTAAACCTCCCCTGGCACAGCTTGGGGCTATTTAACTCCATTAAGTGGTAAGGCAGGCCCATGCCTTTTCTTTTCTGCATTTAAAACCATAAACCCCGTTCCACTGGCCTGTTAAAAACCCCAGTACCTCTGTGCACCCCCAGTTATCCGTGACTGGTGCCAGTGTTTGTCCCTTGCTCCTTGCAGGGATGACGTGCCAGGCCAGGACGTCCTACACGGAGGACGAGGTGCTGTGGGGCCATCGCTTCTTCCCCGTGATCTCCCTGGAGGAGGGCTTCTTCAAGGTGGATTACTCGCAGTTCCACGCCACCTTCGAGGTGCCCACCCCGCCCTACAGCGTGAAGGAGCAGGAGGAGATGCTGCTCATGTCCTCGCCCCTCATCGCGCCCGCCGTCGGCAACAGCAAGGAGAGGAACAGCTCGGTGGAGTGCCTGGACGGGCTGGACGAGGTGGGCACCAAGCTGCCCTCCAAACTGCAGAAAATCACCGGCAGGGAGGACTTCCCCAAAAAACTCCTCAGGATGAGCTCCACCACGTCGGAGAAGGCCTACAGCATGGGGGACCTGCCCATGAAACTGCAGCGCATCAGCTCGGTGCCCGGCAACTCCGAGGAGAAACTGGGCTCTAAGACCACCAAGATGATGTCGGATCCCATGAGCCAGTCGGTGGCCGAGCTCCCGCCCAAGCTGCAGAAGCTCTCGGGGGGCGGGAGGATGGAGGGGAACCTGCCCCCCAAACTGCGCAAAATGAACTCCGACCGCTTCACATAACCCAGGGGGCCGGGGGCGACCGCGGGGGAGCTGCGACTGCTCCGGGAAGGGAGCGGGGCCGGGAGGGGCCCCGGCACCGGGGGGTGCTGAACTCTGAGCTCTGGAGGCAGGAGGTGCCCCGGGAGGCCGGCGGGCCGGGGGCCGTTGGCATGTACCATCACACCACGCATGCAATACCAGTGTGCAACCCCTGCATATAGTCCTGTGGCATGACTCCCACTGTAGTGACACTGTACAGCCCCAAAAGCGGGGAGGGGCCGCCCTCCCCCCCGTACCCCTGAAGGAGTAGGGCCAACACACGAGCGGGGAGCTTTCAGGGTAAGTTATAACTCCATTTGGGTCTTTTCTCTCCTGGTGTGGGTCGTGATGATTTGTTCAACCGAGTAGTTCTGGTGCATGTCTTTTTTTTTTTTTTCTTCTTTGAGGGAGGTGTATTAGTGAATTCCTGACACCGACTCTGCTGGCCTTAAATTAACTGCTGGTTTCTAGTTTGCTTTAAGGTTTTCTCGGGGGGTTTGTTTCCTGTGTCGAGGCTACTGGGAAAAAAAAATCTGTATTTCATAAGGCTTTGTTTAGAGAAGAAACTTGTATTTATAAGTCTAGGCAAGACAATAAATAAATGAATAAAATTCACACTTTAGATACGATCAGTAAAAACTTTTTAAACCTCTGTGATTTATAATCTATGTGCAAGAAAACTGTTTTAAATAAGCAGGATGTGCTTGCTTTCTCATGTTGATAAAATAGCTGGACGTGAAACAAGCTGAATGTCTCCACGAAGCCACGCAGGCTCTTCTGCTGGATGAACTGCACCCCAAAGGCAGAGCCACCATTCTCCCTGTCCCACCGGGCCTGGATTTCCCTCCTCTGGCTGTGGTGGCCAGCTGGGCCAGCAGCCTGCAGGCCATGGTGGTCCCGAGCCCGGGGAGGCTCCTTGCTGCTTTTGCTAAGGTGAAAATGATGTTTAACCATGTTCTGGACTGAAGTTGACCCTGTGGGTTTCAAAATGAGTAATACTTTGTTTGTAAATGTTGGGGTTGATGTCCTCTGTGTTCGGGTTTCCTTCACCCCTCCCGTTTGGCTCCGGCAGCAGAGTCAACGCGGGATGGGCTGAGTGTTGTGTGGTTGCCCCATCATCGTGGCTACTGCTAGGGGAGCACCCTCCCCGGAATTCCAAAGGTCAGCTGTTGAGGTGCCCGTGGATCCTGTGGGCTGTGTTTGGGGCCTTCCTGTTGTCTCCTTCTCAGAGCAGGAGGTCTGGGATGGATGGAGCGATGGGCAGCACCATCAGTGCCCTGGGTAGGAAAGCTGCTGCCAAGAGCACCAGGAGAAGGGCTCTGTGGGATGTCCTCTGTGGGATGTCCTCTGTGTGTGTGAAACCCTCGGGACCACATCCAGGTGGTCCCAGGCATGGCCAGGTGAGGGTCAGAGGAGCACCCACAGCTTCACTAATGGCTGGGCCCTTCTGGCTCACGGGCCCCGGCCCATCCTGCACAAATGCTGGCACGTGCTGCCTGAGTGGTGACAGATCTGATGGTCTTGGAGGGGAAAATGGGGTTTGTTATAAATGTTGGCATGGAGCAAGAACCCTGAAGCCCAGCACTGCTGGGGGCTGGCTCAGCCACCACTTTCCCTGGAAGTTGCAGTGTATGACCTGGCAGTTGTATGAATAACTTTGTATGAACTTTGTATGAACTTCCAAAGTTCCTTTCACGGTTTCTCACCCTTTTTGAGTGGCACTGCATGTTCTTCACAGCTGTGGCTGCCCCTCAGCGCTCTGCACGTTGCTGTGGAAGGGCAGGGCTGAGCCATGCTCCACATGTGCTGAGCCAGGGGAAAACCTGGGCTTGTGCTCCCCCTTTTCCCAAACCTTCTTCAGGTTGTCTTGTAAAATACCCCTGACTTTTGTGGCTGTTCTCCCAGTCCTTGGCTGGCACCAGGAATAGCCATGTCCAGTTGCCAGGTGTCCACAGCAGATCCACCACCCAGCCCAGCGAGCCCAGAGCAGTGCCCAGCCTGGGAACCAGCCAGGGAGCACCCCCAGCAGCCTGGGCACAGGGCTCTGCCTGGGAAAGGAGGGTCTCCAGCAGCTTGACCCCTCCTCAAAGCTCCTTTGGTTTATTTGGGGTGGGTGGGGAGCAGTGGCTCCTTCCTGGGGGCTGTCAGAGCATGAGCCCACCAACCACTGGACTGTGTGACACTGGGCTGGGTGGGCATTGCAGGGCCCTGCCAAACAAAATATTCTGTTCTGTTCTTTTTCTTAATCTATTCTATCCTTATTCTTAACCTATTCTTGTTCTTATTCTGTTTTCTATTCTTATCCTTGATCTATTTTTATTCTTATTCTATTCTTAATATATTCTATATTCTATTCTTATTCTATTAATTCTATTCTTGTTCTATTCTTATTATATTCTATATTCTATTCTTATTCTATTAATTCTATTCTTGTTCTATTCTCATTCTATTCTCTATTCTTGGTCTATTTTCTATTCCTTATTAATTCTAGTTCTATGTTCATTCTATTCTATTCCCTTTTAATTATGTCCCTATTCTATTCTATTCTATTCTATTCTATTCTATTCTATTCTATTCTATTCTATTCTATATTAATTCTATATTAATTCTATGTTTGTTCTAGTCTCCTATTCTATTCTATTCTATTCTATTCTATTCTATTCTATTCTATTCCATTTTATTCCCTTCTGGTTTGTTCTGTTCTGTTCCACCCCTGCCCTGCTGCAGTTCTGTGGCTGGTACAGGAGCTCAGGTGCAATTTGGGGTCCCCTGGGGTGTCCCACCTTTGCTGAGCTCTCCTGCCAACGCCCTGTGGTGGCTCATGGTCCCCTTGGCTTTTCCTTATGGAAAACCCACCGTGTCCCAGGGCCTCCTGCATCCTCCCTGCCCAAATCCATGGGTTCTCCTGCATCCTCCCTGCCCAAATCCATGGGTTCCCATGGCTGCAGCAGGAGAGCCAAGTGGCCTTTTCCTTTGGGAAACCTTGTGCTGAATGTGTGTACAGAGTGAATGAAGGAGGAGCCACAGGGATGTGCTCCCCAAATTGGACTGAAAACAGGTGACAGGGAGCAGAGCTGGAGCTGGAAAACTCCTGGCAGTTCCAGAGCTACTCAGCAACCTCTGAAAAATCCCTGGAAGTGTGTGAGACACTGGGGAAGGGGCCTCGTTTTTATTAAATTAATGCCATGAAAATACTAAGCTATGATTTGATTTTTTAACTCAAAACTCTCAGCCATCCCTGCTGAATACAAAATTCCCGAGGTTTGGGGCCTGGATTAAGGTAATTTTTAATAAGAGGTAAAGTACAAACGTGGCCAAAAACTGTCTTTAGTTATTTATTTTAGGAAGTCACTTGTGGTTAATATTTTGGTTTTTATTGGTGTGACCACTTTTTTTTTTTGTTTAAACTGATTAGCATTTGAGCCCAGTCCTGACGCTTCTGCTAATTAAAGCTCCTGTTTGATTGCACAGCCGGTCTGTGTCTTCCTGCTGGAATTTACGCTTGAGTTCTCCTGGAAATTGTACATATTGAGATCAAATAAAGAAATAAAGAAATGCCTTTTCAGCATGCAGCCTCTCCCTGTATCAATGGACACGCTGATCCAGAAGAAGGAACTCTTGTGTTAGTGCTGCCAGCTCGGTTTGATCGAAAGCTCTGTTGAACTTCCACCAGCTGCTGGCTTGGAAGGGGTTTGTTGTTCCTCCACTTTTTAGCACCTTAATAAAGGACTTGCAGCTGCTCCAGTTCCTGATCTCACCTTTGGTGTGTGCTGAAAGTCGGGCTCTTGAATGAGCCCAAATAAAGCTGAGTGGGCTTGAGCTGCGTTTTCAGGGTGGTTACACCCATTTCTGAAGGGCCATTTCCCTTACACAGAGCTTGGATTTCTTAGCCTTGTCTCCCCAGTCCAGGGGGGCTGGCAGAGCTCCCCCCAGCAGCAGAGCAGCCCTTCCTCTGGTTTTTAGTACAAATTCCCCCTTGGTGGCTGGGCACCAGCACTCAGGGAGCAAAATGTGATGGTTATTATTATTATTATTACTTCTTATTATTTATTTTTATAATTATTATTATCATGTATAGAGTGTATATACATTACTGATATTATTAAATAATATTTCTATTACTATATATTTATAACAATATATGTATGTATATAGTATATACTAGTGTGTATAGATACACTATTTATATATCTATATATATGCCTATGTAGGTATATATACTGTATATATATATATATATTTTTAAATGTATATACATTTTATATACATTATATATAATATAATAATATATTGTATATATAATATAGACTGTAACATACAATATAATATAATTCTATATAATATATAAGATATAATGATATATAATACAATATAATAATATATTGTATATATCATATACACTACAACATACAATATAATTTTATATAAGATATAATGATATATAATACAATGATATATACAATATAGTATTATATATACACTATAACATACAATATAATATAATTATATATAATGTATAATGTATAATATATAATAATATATAATACAATATAATCATATTTAAATATAGCAATATAATAATAATAATAATAATATAATATAATATAATATAATATAATATAATATAGTATAAAACTCGGAGGGTGGTGGGGCCGTGGTTGAAATAAAGTGAATTTTTGTGGTTGGGGGAGATGTGGAAGTGGAATTGTGAGTAGATTCGAAATGCCCCTGTAGGAAACACAGGGAGGGAAGAGGAGCATTCCCGGGATAAGAGCTCCAAGGGGAATTTCTTCTTATCCACGTGCTGAGGCAAAGGAGGAGGGGAATTTAAACACCCTGAAGTGAGGTGGGAGGGCTTCCTTCTGCCCAGGGCTGGATTCCCCCTGATTTGGTTTGTTGAACACATCTCCGGGGCACCCCGGTGCCCAACAGCCATGGAGCTGTTGGAGAGTGTCCAAGGGCGGGATGCAGGGACGGGGGAGGGTGTGGAGGGGCTGAGGGCACTGGGATTGTCCAGCTGGAGCAGAGGAGACCAGGGGGCACTGCTGGGGGTGCCCAGACCCCACGACCCCCCCTGTGCCGTGTGTGTGTCCCAGAGCAGGGCAGGGCGGGCATTGCCACTGGGCACATGGCTTTGCTCATTCCCACTTATTCCCCATTCCCACTCTCCAAACTCCGGCTCCTGGAGTTATATTTTGTCCCCAGCTCCCTGGCTGTGGGTTTATCCGAGCGTTTTGGGCCGAGCCTGGGGGGGCCTTGGCCTGGTTCCAGGGCGGCTGCGTGCGAAGGGAAGCGCTGACAGATGGGCCAGGGCGGAGCAGGGCCAGGCGGGCACGGAACAACCGGGAGACTTCTCCCTTGGCATCTCCCGCCTGGGCCTGGGAAGGCTCCGGGCAGCGTTTCCTTGAGTGTTCCTGGGAAAAAAAGGTGAAAAAGCCAAATAAATGCCCGTCCCAGCGTTGTCAGGATGATGCTCAGGGTGAACACAAGCTCCCCACTGCAGGGAGGAATTGCATCACATAATTCATACCTGTTTACAGTATGGATAAATCCACACTTCTTAAACAAAATTAATTTAATTTTTTAAATAAATTAGCCAAGCTCCCGTTTAGGACAATAAAAGCAAACTGTTTTGTTCTTCTCTTAGGCAGTACACTACGAACTCATGCTTTGATTTTCATGCAAATTGGCAGAAAATGTCAACATGTTTACTCAGATATTTTGTTGGATAATCCGTCGTTCCTTTAGTCCCAAAATCGTCCCTGCTAATAAGCAGAAGTGGCAGTGGTTGTACATTGAGGCAATTTAAGACAAATGTGGGATGCCTGCAGTCACCACAGGTTTTTCCAGCTCTCATTCCCATTTAGTGGTGGCCCCATGAGGGGATGAGGGACACGTGGGAGCAATGGGGACAAGGAATCCCAGCAGAGGTGGGGTCGGGAACAGAAACCCCATTAACGTGTCCGTCCCTTCCAGCTTCCCCCCAAATCTGCTCCTCCTTCCCGTCTGAGATGATCAAATCCAGAAATACAGCCGTGCATCCCAGGAGCACGGGAATGGAATTCTGGATAACCACAGGACCGTGGAATGGTTTGGAAGGAATTCTCACCTCGCAGGGAACGTCACCATTGCAAATGCCTTCCAGGCATTATTGATAAACACTCAGACAGCCCAGTGGCCCCTTCCTAATGCATAATTGAGCATTTAATATGAAAAAAAAGCAAGAAACAACATTTTCTTTGACAAGACCAATTCTTAATTCTTATATAATATTCTGAATGTAGCTGTTATAAATTTGAGGTGTCGTGTGTCAGCTCCATTACAGTCATTTTATATTTTATATTTCATATTTATTTTTTATATTTCATCTTAATATTTCATATTTTATAATTTTTATGTTTATATATATTCCATATGTCATATTTTATAATTTATATTTATTTTATTTATATTTTTATTTTATATTTTATGTATATATTTTACATTTTACATTTTATATTTTATTTTTATTTTTTATATTATTTTATATTTTATATTTTATATTTTAATGTTTTATATTTATTTAATATTTTCATTTTAGATTTTATATTTCATCATTTATATTTTATATTTTAAGTTTCAAGCTTTACATTTATTTTATATTTCATTTTTTGCCTTACTACTTTTTATTAAATTTTATTTTTTTTTATATCTTACATTTTCTGTTTTCTTTTCTATTTTGTATTTTCTAAACATTCATTTACCATCCTGCACACACACACACACACATAGAGAATATTTGCCCCAACCATGAGGCCTCCATACAGAACCCTTAACATTCCTACATAGTTGATGTGTTTTCTATGATCCTTATATTTTTATTTTCGATTTTACATTTTTTATATTTTATGCTTTATGCTTTATATTTATTTTATATTTTATTTTTATGTCATTACTTTTTATTAAGTATTATTTGTTATTTTATATCTTATGTTTTCTATTTTCTATTTTGTATTTTCTAAGCATTCATTTACCATCCTGCACACACACACACACACAGGATATTGGACCCAACCACGAGGCCTCCATGCAGAACCCTTGACTTTCTTGCACACTTGATGTATTTTCTATGATCTTTATATTTTTTTATTTTATATTTTACATTTTTTATATTTTATGCTTTATGCGTTATATTTATTTTATATTTTATTTTTATGTCTTATTACTTTTTATTAAATTTTATATTTTATTTCATGTCTTATGTTTTCTGTTTTATTTTGTATTTTCTAAGCATTCATTTACCATCATTCACACTCACACCCAGGAAATGTGACCCAACCACGAGGCCTCCATACAGAA